CTGAGATTGGTTGCTCCAGCTCCCTGGTTGCACCAGGTTGACAAATCATTCTCTGTTTTGGATTTGTGAAATGAGTTTTTGTAAACTTCTACTCTTCCGTCATCATCATCCCCTTTGAAAAAGTGCAGCAGATTTATTTAAGACTACAATTCTGATCTTGGGGACATGGGGAAATCAAACCAGTAAAAAGGCCCATGGAATTAAACTGCAATTTGGGGAATGTAATGTTAGGGGCAGCCTACAACAAACTGCCCCATGCATTACTTTTCCAAATACTTGAACCTGTGTGGGAATAAAAAAGGACTTTACAGACTTGTGGCATAACATTTAAACACCCTTTTGCAAAGACTTAACTTTCTAGAGCAAAAAATATTGAATGACAGTGGTTCTCAATTTACATCAATCAGAGTAATTCTGATTCCTTCTCTGCCTAGAAAAGTATCCCAGGGAGGCTTGATGAACAGCACAATGCTTGGAGACATTGGAGGCTGTGCAATGCAGAAGCAGCCATTTAGTATGAGCAAAGTGAGTCTGTTCGATGTAATGCAACTCGCATCCAGTACCGAGGTGGTTTCAAAAACAAAAATCCATGCATTTTTCACTCTCAGATCTACTTGGTCTCGATCAAGAGAATGAAGCATCTCACACAGCATCTGATGTAGTAATGACTGGCATTATCTGAGAAGTTGTGCTCTGTGGTTGAGGATTGGGACAGGCTAAATTAGAATCATGATGAAACCAGGGATGTGCCAGAATTGAGAGTCTAGCTAGCTCCCAGAAGTATTCCACAGAGATGTTGGAAACAGCCAGAGAGGTGCCAGCCTGTAGCCAGCAGGTGCTTATGCTGAGGAGCAATGTGGTTTTCTCTGGGTCTGCTGGCAAATGTTGGCTGCAGGTCTCTGTGTGTCACAGCAGGGACGTGGCACCATCGGTGTGTGACTCAGCACGGAGCGTGCCTGGCGAGCTGAGGTGCAATGTTTGTGTGCAGTGTGTACATGAGAGGGTGGCTGCAGCTGGGCTGGCCTCATCAAACTGCCTCTTGGGGCTGGTCTCTGGCCAGCTCTTAACTCCAAAAATGGGAATCCTTGTGGGAGACTTAGCTGCCAATTCCCTGTGCCAGGTGCATTTCTGAATTTCAGCTGGACAAGGGTCTGTGACCAGCATCTCTGGCCACTGTGTGTCCCCTGTTGCCTTCACTAGTCTCACTTGTGCAGGAGGGTGACAGTGCAGGCAGTGGTGTTGTATGCCTGCTGAAGGACAGGAGGTTGTCCAAGACAGGTGAATTCTGAGAAAAAATGTCTTTTATGAAAGAAAGCAGTATGCAAGAATTTAGCAGTCCAGCCTTTCACTAGTTTTACTTTTTAGAGTGTTTTCATAGTTCTGTGACACAGCTGAAGACAGATTACAGCTCTTCAGTTAATACTGTGTCCAAAAGTCCCTCATTCCATGTGCTGTTTTGTTCTCCCTTTTGCTAAAACCCCTCAGTTAAACAACTGCCTTTTGAATTTGATTGTTAGGCCCACACAGTACAGTTTTCAGTGTTTAATAGCTACTTTTATGGCTCCCTTGTAAATAATCAAATTATTGTATTCTATACAAGAACCAGGAGTAAACATGTTCTGATGGCAACAACTGTAGAGAAGCCTGGCTGCATACCAATGGAATAGCAAGAGCAAAACTGTTTCTTGAATAACTGTTCAAAAACATTGCTATAAATAATGAATAGCTGTCCTGACGAAACATAATGCTGTTGAAAATGGAGATAAGATGATGTGATGGATCAGTATTTATTTTCTTTAAAGTGTTATTTCTTTTACCTGTCAGCAAACATTCTCTGTATTTAAATGAACTGTGCTTCTTCTCTTTCTAGACAGTCCTAGGCTTGTGAACTGGCTGCTCCACCAATCACAGACTACTCATGAAATTTAGCTTTTGAATTTACAACAGCTCTTCATTTAGTTGTCCTGGCAATTTTCAGAAGTAATTCATTTTGTACATGTTTTTTTATGTTTCTCACATTCTTAATAAGCAATGAGAGATTTGAGAGAGAATATAAATCTGTAATTTTATTTTAAAGATTTTTTTTGTAGTGCTCTTGTACTACCACTTCTTTTGTCGTTCAAATGTATATAAGGCGATTTCAGTCATAAAAAGCTCTCAGTGTCATGTTCTGCCACTTTGGCATCATGATAAATATTACTTCAGTCAAGAAATGAAATTGATTCTAAAGGGACTGCTCATTGAAATAGTTGCTAGTAGTTATGGATAAGTACAGCAGGCTCTGGCTGCAAACCTTTGATTTGCACACAATTCCTTGGAGGTGTACATGATCTCCAACATGACTGAGGAGTGCAAAGCCAGCTCTGTAGCTCCTTTCTATACTGTGATTTACTGCACCTTTATATGTGGTCTCCTAAGGCTATATGGTGAAACTGAAAGGCAGCACACTCATTAGGTAATTTAAGCTATCTCAGTGAGTGGAAAATGTTGGTTTGGGGATTGTAGATCATCAATAAATTGTTCATGTGTGAAATGAAAAGCCACCTTGAGGTCAGCTTCCAGTAAATTCATCTTGAGCTCAGGCAATTTGGAAACACCTGGCTTAACCCACTAATTATTTGATTGACTGCTATGACTTGAAAAACAAGGTAGAGGTATCAGGCAATAATGGCTTAATCAGAACTTTTAAACACTGCTGCTTTTTCAAATAAAGAGATCAGGATCTACAGCAAATGCAGCTGCCACAGGGCAGCACAGCCCACTGTTCTGCAGTGATAGGAGTCCACAGCCTTCTCAGTCTGATGAATTGCATGCCAAGATCTTTAGACAAGCACATTCATGAGACATGACCTTCCACCCTGGAGAGCCATGGGATAGCAGAGGTTGAAGGGCGATGCAGCCAACAGTGTTTTTCCTAGGGTTTCAGCAAGAGGGAGCTGGCTGCAGGGGGAATGCAGCAGGTTCCCAAGATCAGCCAGTACCATCCACCTCAGCCACATTTGTGCCCCTTTTCTCCCCATGCTGAGGATTCCAGTTCCACAGCAATCCCTGTGGCAGTGCTGGCTCATCTCTGATTGCATGAGATATGAGCTAAGGCGAGATTAAAGAAGTGTGTCAGAAAGCATTGTGATTCTTCTGCTTTTAAGTTGTAATTTTTTGCCAATTCTCCAACAGCTCTTACCTCCAAGTGGGTGATACTGCTTTGACCTGTGCATCCAAGCTGTGGGTTTATATAGTTGTAGTTTCTTACTTGCCCAATATAAACATTTTTGAGAAAATCACCGATGCTGCATCCCCTGGCAGCACTATTGACATTGTACTGTTCTTAACCTAACGCAAGCTAAAGAGTCAGTTTTTCAAGTGAGTTAGTGATGCCTTAGAAATTTATGAAAATGGCATCTAGGTAATGCAGATTTTATATAGGCAAAAGGATATATGAACTGTATGGATATAATTTTGGTCATCTGTACCTGGGCATTTCAGGAATACGTGTTATGAAGGAGCATTTAATGACTAGTAAATAACAAAAAGGTTCCACATTCTTAACTGAATCCCTTTTCCATGTGCTCTATCAATAAAAGAATGCTGTTCTGTCAGTTTTCAAGATTTTTTAATCTGTTGTTGTTGTTAACTATAACTTAATACTGTTGTAAATTAAAATCTACATATAGGATGTTTCAAAGGCTTCCTCTTGTGACTACCTGAGAATGCAAGAGACATGAGAAGTACACATTGCATAACATAAAAAAGCATGGCCAGATGGTGCACATTAGGTTCACCTTATACCCTGCAGAACCCACTCCTTCAAGGAGAGTACAGAGTCCTCAACATTACAAAATCCTCTAATCTGGGAGAGGAAGGACTGTCAGCATCTCTCCCTCATCTGATGGCATTGGGGCTAGCAAACGCAGGGGAGTGCCTTGCCAAGTGTACAGTTGGTCTTTCAGGGCTTCATCTCACCTGGCTCACAGTGCTGCACCCTTCAGATGTCACCTCAGGAGAAGCCAGTGTCATCTCAGAAGTGTGTGCCAGCAGCACACTGGCTGGTCCCTGGTGGAGATGCATTCCACATTCTTTCCAAGTCCTGTTGCTCTCTCCAGAGTGAATTGGGCAGGAAGCTCATGGTGTCTGGGGTTGTTCTAGCCCTGCAGTTGCTGTCAGAGCTGCAGCACAGAGAGCAGGGGCTCAGCATGCCCAACTTGCACAGCCTTTGCCCGAAGTCCTCCATACCACCACTGCTTGTGCCAGAGCTGTGCTCCAGCAGTGCACCATGTGCAGTCCTGTTGAGAGAGAGTTAATGGTGCTTGATGAATGAAGCAGTTTGGGAGGTAGAATGAGGTCTGAAGCTATGGCTAGTAGGTTGATGAAGACATTGTGCTCTCTGTGCTGCAGCTGGGACACTCACTGGGCTCTGCTGTCTCTGCTCTGTCCGCTCTGAGACTGAGGGCCAGGCTGGAAACCCCAACAAGGATGGGGGCCAAGGCAGCACACCCCAGCCCTTCCACAGGTACCAGTCCTCTGAATCTCTGATCTTGTTGTGGCATAAGATATTTGGGATGATAAAAGATTTTTGATCATTCACAGGCTAGTTATTAACTTACTACAGATGCCTTTATCTATTGACGTGAAATACTATCATGTAGTAAAGCTCCAAAGATTTATGTAAGCCAACAGGAAGATGACTTTTTACCATGTCCCTATGGAAGTACTGCTGTTTTATTGAGTTGATTTGGAAGAAATCACCATTGAATTTAACTTTTGCAGCTGACCTAATTTTCTCTTGAAAGATTTAAACTTTTCTAGTAGGCTTGATGGTCTGTCAACTCAGCATCAAGAATTTCTGCCTTTTTACTAGTGTATGACTGTCACTCTGACACACTGATCTAAAGTGAATTACAGCAGCGGGAACCATCGTTTCAGAATACTAGAAAAACTAGTGTAATTGTTTTACTTAAAGCATTATACTGAAAAGATTGCTCAGTCTGTTTTTCTCTTCCCAGCTGGTGGCCTCCATCGTGTTCATCAGCTTTGGTGTTGTAGCAGCCTTCTGTTGTGCAATAGTTGACGGAGTGTTCGCAGCACGGCACATAGTAAGTGCAGCGATTTTGTCATCTTTCAATTTTTATTATTTATGTCATTTCTAACAGGAAAGTATTTTCTTTTGGTTTATGTTTAGCAGTATATTAGGGTTTTTTATAGTTCTTGGTGGAGATTCCTAATAGAAAGGTGATTATAAAATGATGTCATGAAAGGCATGCTAAAAGGTGTATTTGCTTAGAAAAGGAAGACATTTCAACCACTACCAGCATTTGTTTCCTGTTGTACAAAGGCTTTGTGGGCACCGTAAAGATTTGGAATGCACCCAATGATGAGCACCGTCACCTGATGGGATTTGAATATGCTAGTTTATATATGTGAGAAATGAGTTGTTTGCTGTTCTATCTTTTGTGATAGAATGCCTAAAAAATCAGGCTAAACCCTAGCTTTTAATTGAGCTTTGATTTCCAAAATCATCAGGAAATAAGTAGTCATATGTGTTAACAGACATTAGAGGTCAGATGTAGTATGCTAAATAATACAGCAGGATGATATATGAGCCTCTCTCTGCTATGAAATACCATGAGCCTGCTCATCTTTCTGCTTGTGTTCATTGAGGGGCAGCATAACTCCACTGGCATCAGTGACACCCTGTTGAATTTTTGTTAGCAAATACCTCAGAATAATTAGGCTTTAGATCACCTGGAGCATAAAGTTATAAACTGATTTATATTTTACTGTTACTGAAGAGGGCTTTAAACCAAATGTGGGTTTCAGAGCTTCATATGCATTGCACGAGACAAAAGACATCTATTGTGTAAACAGCAGAGGTGTGCAATGTGAGCATGGATAACTGCTCTGGATTGTAGTCATGTTTTGTGTTGTACAGACCCTGCATGATGCCACAGTGGCCTGCTTTTTCTTGGATTTACCCTGTAGTGGGTCTGGATGACACCTGGTTTAACTGTCTCTGATTAGCAAAGGCCCAGGGAGCCTTTCCAAGGGAGCTGCTTAAAAGAAGAGGGGAGCAAATTCCTATTTAGATTCTCTGCTCCAGAACATTCAGTGGCTGTGCCCTGGAAAACCACTGACACTTATTGAAATTTTGGACCTGTCCTGGAGAGGCTGAGGCAACTGGAGTCGTTTAGTCTGGAGAAGCAGAGGTTATTTGTAGGAAAGGAGGTTATAGTGAGGTGAAGGTCAGTCTCTTCTACTATGTCCCCCTTGAGAGCTTGAGAATAAATGGCCTTAAGTTGAGCCAGGGGAGGCTCAGATTGGATACTCAGAGAGTAGTTAAGCATTGGAGAAAGTTGCCCGGGAAGATGGCAGAGTCACCATTTCTGGAAGTGTTCAAGAGGCGTCTGGATGTGTGACTTAGGGATATGGTGTAAAGGTGATTTTGGGTTGATGGTTGGACTGTATGATCCTGAGGGTCTCTTCCAACCTTCACGATTCTGTAGTTTCCCAGGAACCTGACTTATTTCTGTCCTGCTTTAATGTGATCATTAGGAAGTGTTCAGAAGGCACTTGTGCAGTCTTACACGTTGTAACTGCAGTGCAGCTGTGCAGCCACAGCCCCCCACTGCTGAGGGTGGACACAGCTTCTCTGAGGTGAGGTCCTCTGTCAGGGACAGTGAGTGCTCAGTCTCAAGCACAGACACAGGCATTGCTCCTCACACCTTTCTAGGTGTTTTCAGTAGGAGAACACCAAGGCACAAAGTTCATTGCACACACCCAAGAAAAAAGCATCTTACAATCTGGGGAGTGCAGTTCTGTAACTGGTTAAGTGAGTGATTGGGTATGACTGTATCCCCTGTGCAGAGCTGGAGGCTGGAAGGGGCTGGCCACCATCCATCCATTCCCAGGAGTGCTGTACAAGCCAGTAACATGATCCTGCTTCAGTCACATCATGACAGGCTTCATGGAAACCCGTGACCAGTTGTTTACATTTGGGCTCACTTCTGTTTGTCACATCTGTATCTTGCTGTCTCCTTCACCTGTGACAGAGCAAAGAAATATTAAGCACGATTTGTTGGAAAACTAATTTGTATCTCAGCATGACCACACTCACTTCAACCCGTTCTCCTCTGTCTAATAAGGAACCTGATAGGATCAGGTGAAGTAAAGTCACATCACCAAGTTTCTCTGACTAATACACCTGGGAAGGTCTGTAGGGATGATAGTGTAAGTGTGCTCCCAGTTTAATTTACAACAATGGTGGGGCCTTATCAGAAGAACATGTGCCATGCAGACTACGGTGTCACTGCCATGGAGTTACATCCTCTTTGCATCACAGCTCATTTCCTTCAGAAGAACAGCAACATCACGTTCAGTCCACTCTCTACAGGCTGTACCAGCCTTTTTCAGACCTGGGTTATGCTCTTCCCATTTTGTGCACAGCCTTTGGGGCATAACTGCTGAAGAGTTGGAGTAAACTGTCCTCCAGCAGGGAAAGGACAAATTCAATGTCAGAGCAGGTGCCTATATTAAAGCCATAGACTTTTTGTGAGAAATGGTAGCTGAAGCCAAGCAGTCTTCAGACTGACTACAAATACAACATCTTTCACATCAATTTGGAATAAAAAATGTGTCCCCCTTTTTGTTTTATTTTTAGCTTCATTTGAGCTGGAAAGGATGTGAAGAGGGCAAATCACATAATTGCAGATTTTTCTTAGTATGTGCCTACAGTGGAATGGAGACAATTATTGTTGCACATTTTCTCCTGCTTTTATAAAACTGTGAATAGAATAATAAAATAGTTTTCTCTGTTTTATTTCCTTCCCAATGAGGCATGAAATTGACAAAAATTCTTCCTAGAAATGGATGTATTTCAGAAAAGAGATGCTTAAATTATTTAAGACTTACTTTGCTTTATAGAAAGCTCTGGGTCACACCATTTATAAAATTAAAAACACTGAAGGAAATGTAGCTTGATTTAAAATAGCAGTAGCTTATTTAAGAAATAATGCAGATATATTTCACCTTAAAAAGACAATTAAAAAAACAAAAAAACACAACAAAACCAACCAAACCAGAATCAAGTGACATAAATCAAAGTTGAAATTCAAGTGCAGTGATGTTATTTCAGAAAAATATCGTGATTAAAGGAATTTATCTGCATTTGTGTTTGCTTGAGACATTTTGTTATTTAGCAGATGAGAATAGTCCAGTTTTTCTGTTGGAGATCATTCAGCAATGTTCTCCCACTGCACAGGGAGATGCCCTGTCCCACCACAGGTACACATTCTCTGCAGTAGCTATGCCCTCCTACTCATGACTGCAAGCCTTGACCATTGCCGCATGATCTTCAGCTTTGCAGTTGTGCTCCAGATGAAACCTAAAATAGCCAACAGCAAGAAATCCGGGTATGAAGTGAAGAAATTGCCTTTTCCAACTGAGTTTATTCTGTGATTCTGTGATGGAAAAGCTGGATGCTATGGAAGGCAGAGTTGCTAGTCCATTGTGACATCTAAAATGCACACCAAACCAAGCAGTGTTAAGTTGTTCCTCTCCTCTTCTGCAAAGCCACTTCTGTGTAACAGTGATTTAATTTAATTTTCAGCTGACCTAGTTTCTTCCTCTTGATAGTGGTAGCTTAAGGAATTAATTAAAATAGAATATATCATCAGGTGATAAGCCCTAAAATGAACCTGAGAACAAACTTAGCTGAACTAGAGGATACTGAAACACTACTAGACTCCTAGATTTGGATCTTCACCCATATGGTTTAAGTGCAGCTTGTGGACTGCTGAAGGATATCAGCTGGGTAATCACCTACTGATGTGGGAGTTTAGAAATTAAACTTGAAATATTGGCTTTCTGTTTATATATAGTAACTCAAAATACTGTTTGCTAAGATGGACATTATGTAAACTCACTTTCTGTGAGGCACAGAGACAAGGCAATGGGAAAATTGAGTCTTTGATCTGGGGGATGCTGATGAAGATTGAGCTCTGGTTGGTGGAACTCCAAAGCTGCTGTATTAAGCAATGTAAAGTTGGCAGCCCTGACCTAGCGAACAAATAGCTACATTATAAACACATTCTGTGTGATGAAGATCTGCTGATTTCTGTGTTAAGAGCAGTTCCCCAGCAGAGATGCAGAGACCCCTGCCCAGCAGTGGAGCTGTGCCTGTGTGCTCCCAGCTGTGCCTGTGTGCTCCCAGCTGTGCCTGTGTGCTCCCAGCTGTGCCTGTGTGCTCCAGCTGCTCCCTAAGTGCAGGGGTGCCGGTGCTGCTGCCCGTGTGCCCTCAGGAGCTGGCAGCCACGTGCGGTGTTGCACGTGCGGTGACCGAGGATGTCAATCCCCTTCCCATCTCTGGAGCTTCTCATGCAGGTTGCAGACACCCGGGCAAGGACAGCAGCAGGGGTGACTGGCAGCTTGGCAGGCCACTGCTGCATTTTACTACAGGGGGGTTTCATATGCCCATGGCATGTAACACAGGCCACAGTCTTGCACACTACAGCCATTTGAAAAATGTTCTGAGCCATTTGAAAATGTTCTAAAAAGCCATTTGAAAATGTTCTGAGCAAACCTGTTGGCTTTCCCATTGAAGAAAAAAACAAATAGTTGTATTCCACGTCTAACACAACTCAAAGAATAATTTCTCACTGGAATTAAATTAGGTAGATTCTCTGGAGAACAACACTAAATGCATTTTGTGTTCTCCATGTTGCCACATGAGACAAAATTACACCTAATTACTTTTAATTCCATTTCCATCCTGTATGACTCATTAATGTAATAGCATGGCATAGCATATACCATAAAAAGCATCAAAAGCAGCACATCCAGCAGGTCAGGGGAGGTGATCTGCCCCTCTGCTCTGCTCAGTGAGACCCCACCTGGAGTGCTGCATCCAGCTGTGGAGTCCTCATCGGCAGAGAAAGGACACGGAGCCCTTGGAGCAAGTCCAGAGAAGGGCCACAAAGATGATCAGAGAGATGGAGCACCATTCTTGTGAAGACAGGCCGAGATAGCTGGCGTTGTTTAGCCTGGAGAGGAGAAGGCTCCATGGAAACCAGACTGGGGCCATCCAGTACCTAAAGGGGCC